GGTGGTGGTGGTGGTCTCAAATTTTGAAAAACCGCTATTTAGCCATAATCAAGCTCATCGAAAAGTGAATCTTCAGTCACTAACTGGCTGTTGACATCGTGTTTTTTCTTGCTGGTTCCCGGCCTAAGAGGACAAGGAAGAAAAAGGAACGATCGCTCGCGTTTCGTGGCCAGTTTGTGGGGTTACTGCTCCGGTATTCGCCTGGTGTTGATCGGAGAAATCACGGAAAACTACCGATCAGAGCAGCAGGCTTCTAGAATTCTTCTGCAGACAAAGGCTGAACTCGACCTAGCTATTTAGCTAGTGGTGATATTATGTACAGGAGGAACATAATATAATAATTTTGATGCAGATAATTATAAGTGGATATATTTTTTGCCTAGTGCTGCTAATCTGTTGGTGTGGTGTAAACATTGTTATGTCAGATGATTATCATAATGGCACGTCTTCTCCCGCATTTTTGTTTGAAGAGAAAAAATCGAAAAGACCCTAGCTTCTGTCTAGTGTTATTTCAGTGTCTCTGAAATCGCTGCAAATAACAGTGATATGGCAAAGGTTCTGGAAGCCATAAAAAAACTGACGGCCGACGAAATGGAAAATTGGATTTTATAAGTGCAGAATTGTTAGCTGACATAGCAACCACAAAGATAAAACTATCTACTATTGATAAAAGGCAAGTTGATTCTGAAGAAAGACTGAAATCTGTTGAGGATAAACTGCCTGGTATGTATAATTAAATATTTAAGGAAATCTCTGATAGAGTTTATCGGCAGTGTAATGTTATTTTTAGCATGTGTGATAATAGTAAATTTCCAATTGAATCTAGAGAGCATGACAAAAAAACAATTGATATTTTATTTAAAGAGACCTCTTGTGAAAATGTCTTATTAAAAATCCATTATCGGGTTGGGAATTTTATAACCAACTCTCCAAAGCATTTGAAACTTGTCTTTGATCCAGATATTCGGTGAAGTTCCCGAATCTAGTGAACTGCAGTGCTACTCACGATCGCTCCCTCTACAGCTGGAGAATTACAAACAACTGAGAAACAAAATCTTGGAGACCTTACTTCTGGAGCAATCGAAATGGAAAGTTCAATTTATCAACGGTATTACCAAGATAATGAAGAGACGTGCTCCGGTGGCATCACATACTCGAACTACTCTGCACTGTTATTATCAGAATGTGCGCAGTGTTCTCAATAAACTTAACTTACTCTTTATCAGTGTCATTAGCTCCTTGGATTGTATTCTAATTATCGAGGCATGATTGAAGCCTGAAATCATGGCTTCAGAGTTAATAGATACAAATAATATCAATGTGCGCTGTGATCGTCAAACGAAGAGAGGCAGTGGAGTTCTTATAGCTGTCAAAAAAAATCATGTCATAGATTTGGATAAAATCATTTATGCTGCTCCAGGTGTAGATATTGTCGATATTACACTTTTGTTTATAAAGTTAAATTTTATCATTTTATTATATGTTCAGCCTTCTATCGACGTTGAAATATACAAAAAATTGTTCAATGAGATAACGTCCTTAAGTGAACTATGGGGTGGTAATTTGGTTTTGATGGGAGACTTTAATACATAAAAATACACATTTTTGGCAAAAATAGGAGAGTTCAGTATCCAATGAGCTTAAAATAATTTTATAATCTTCAGCAATTTAACAATGTTACAAATGTATACCACAGACAGCTTGAACTTGTTTTGAGAACTTTCACTGCTCTATAACTGAGGAAATTAATCCTAATTTTACTATAGATAGTTATCACCCTCCACTCTTAATTGATTTTACTGTATTTAAACGTATTGATTTGGATCACTTTTGTACTTTTAGTGATTCTAGTCCACTTAATTGTAAAAAAGGAAATTACACTGGGATTAATGAGTTGGGAGCTACTGATTGACCCGGTATATTATTATTAGAAAAATTCTTCTGATAAAGATAATTTATTGAAGATTTATGAAATATTTCGAAATTCGAGATACTGGCAGTTATCTGCCTCGTGGAATCGATAATGATTACTTATTATCAAAATTTAGCCTCGTAAGTATAAAGGTAGAAGAGTAAGTATAAAGGTAATAGACGGTAATTACCATCGATTGTTCTCTTCATTGAAGTATTGAGAAATATTACAATTTGTCTACTGATACATGAAATGATTTCGCTATCGGTTCCGCATACGCGCATCGTACCGTGAGACTATTTTATAATTTTGTCTCAAATTTTAGGAATTCAAGTAATAGCATTGTTTATGAAATGATCTCAAATGTCAACATATTTATAATCAGTGTTGAGAGTGATATGTATATCATAAATAAATAAATAAATAAATAAATAAATAAATAAATAAATAAATAAATAAATAAATAAATA